TTCGGTTTTAGGAATCTCTTGAATTTCAAGGTCGCAAGCTTGGCAGATTTGTATTTAAATTCGTAGAGTTATTCAAATGACTTGACAGGTGCAGCAAATGTCAATAAGGAGATTATGGTTGTTTGCTCAGTGGGGTGGTTCAAAACACTACTTTGGTTGTTATAGCAGTGCTCATGTTCACGCTGCACAATTTAGATGACGTTGAATGGTTTATATACTTTTTTTTTCTAAATGTAAGCCTTCTTTGTTATATTGCTAGAAATTTGCTGTTTCGTGATAAAAAAAATGCATATTTATTTTCCATAACCTGCTCCGAATTTGTGTCTTAGTGCTGGAGAAGTATTTCGGCTGTTGCACTCCTGATTATGTTTCGGTGGGTTTTTTTTTCCTACCTTTTAGCGGTAAGTTAACGCACCATTATTGAGGGAGTGAAGGCTGAGTGGAAGGAACGCGATGGCTTACGCACCAGCGCGAGCAGTGCGCAGTGATCGCCAGAAGCCAACATCTCGTCACGTCACGCTCGTTCGCCAAGCGCGCACTAATGCGACGCTTCAACGCATGACCTCCTGCCCTAGCTTTATGCACGACGAAAAAAATAACAACAAATAGGACGGGTCCTGAGTGAAAGGATATATAGTACCTTTCCTACTTCGTATATACGTTGATTTATTCGCCAACTGCGTAGAGGTGTGCTAGCCGATGTAAAAAGAAAAAAAAAAAAGTCGGCGTAAAGAGCGTGACGCGTTCGCGGCTCGTGAGCTGCATGCTGCCTTGTTGGCGAGTTCTATGAATGGAAGGAAGGTGGTTTGCGGTCGGCGGGCTTACCCACCCACACACTGCTCCGCGTGCCGAAACAAAGCATCCGGCCGGCCGGCGGCAGTTCGTTGAGATCGGTCACACATGGCTGCGTCGCGGTGAAGCGAAGGGCTTTCGGTATAGTGAGATGAATGAAATGCGGCGGCGGTTGCCGGGAAACCCGATTCGGCCGTCGCGAGACGTGGCGCGAGTCCGGCGGATGTGGTGGTGGTTGGCTCGTCGTCCTCCAAGGGAGCCAGCCCCCGACGGCACAGTCTATTAAGACGGGCTGCGCTGGTTCGGTGTATACAGTTGAGATCCGTAGGCGCGGCTTTGTTAGTGTGTGTCGGTTGTGTCTTCGTGTTGGAACCGTGCAGAAAGACTTGACGACGACACTAGCGCGTGATTTGACTCTGCACAGTTCCAACACGAATGCAAGCCAACTAGTCCAACCCTTCCTTTAGCTGCGGTTGTGTCTTGTTTAGTCTATACGTCACTACGCGCCTGTGTACGTGTACACGTATTGAGTCGATGGGGTAAACTGTTTCTGCGTCAGCCGGGCTGGGCATTGATGGCTGAAGGTTTCAATCTGGTGGCATGTCGATCTCGTCTCCAGTTTTCGTTCTGAAAGGTGTCACCAGCATTCGAGCGGTTGTTCAAGTTCACCCCGCTACGCTACGTTCCGAAGTTGATCCCGCTTCCTGCGGACTGGTAACGTTGTCCTCGAAGTTTCCAACCCGTCAAGTAGCTTCACGGTGGAGAGAACGGAGTCCCGTTGTTTGCGGGTCGCGCGTCGCGTGGAGCTCGTCGATATGTTGGTGGCCATTCATTGACCATTGAGGCGTGTCAGTTACGACTCTTGGGTCACTTGATGTATTTAAGTGGATCGGGAGTGAGAAAAGACAACGAAATAGAACATTACATAAGTGGGTTTGATGTAGCAAAAAAAAAAAAAAGCGTGAGGATGTTTGATACCCAATTCCGATCACCGGAATCGGAGAGGTTAGTAGACAGGGAAGATATTTTGGATTCTGCTCTTGGATCATCTGCTTTTGGTTACCTAGGCTGTCTGTCCTTCCATCTGAATTTGATAACTTGACAGACAGTCAACATTGCGTCCAGGTATACGTATCGAGAACGGGCCTGCCATGGACGACGTGGATGGGTGGAGGAGCGTATTAAGCATCTGTCGATGTTTAATAACGCAGCAGGGAAGGCCAGCCGTGATGGGTGGCTTCACGTGCCACTGCCAAGCGACGTCATTTCATTTTATTCTCTTCAGCTCGCGTGCCCCTCCGGTTTTGGTTCGCCGCCCAAAGGAGGGCGCTACAAGATAGAGGGGTGAGTTCGATCGGGGATAGCCGCGTCGCATGACGCCACGCCAAAATTTGGGACGTCATGATGACGTAACAGCATTTGTGATCTGCGACGTGCTTTAGTTTCGATGCACTGGGTTAGTTTCGGCTTATTCGTCGCGTTATTTTCTGTTTTTTTTTTTTCCGGCACCGCGATCTGTAAAATTCGACGATGGATCTCTGGAACCACGCGTGATATGTTCATTTAATAAATACTAGGATTGTCGTAATTTGTGGCTGAGAACAACTTCGCCGTATAAACTACCACCCTAAAATTGATAATAAAAAAGATAATTAAATTATTTTGTCAGTTAATCGTTCCGGAGTGATCTAACTATAGCGGAAAGCTTTTTCCGCCATGGCCTAGAAATCGGCTCCAACGACGACAAGGGCCTAGTTATTTTTTAAAGGAAAATCTGGGTTCCTTAAAAAAAAAAAAAACACCCTGTATATGTGCATGCGGACGTGAGTGCTTGCGTACCTGTGTGTCAAATAACCAAGTTGCGAAGTGTTTGGGTCTTACGTCCCAAGCACACACAGTATGACTATGAGAGACGCCGATAATGAACGTAGCAGGAGTGCAGAAATTTCGACCACCTGTGGTTCTATAACCGGTAACTAAATATAGGCACACGTATACGGGCCTCTTGCGTTTTCCCTCCATCCAAACGCGGCCGTCGCGTCCGGGAATCGATCTCGTGGCCTTCTCGGTTCGGCACTCGAGCACCACGAAAACCGTGACGGATAAATGGCCTAGTTGTTACCATAACGAAGACAGGTCTATTCTTAATGTTTCTTTTTTTTCTTTTGACGAAACAGTACTGGTCTATGATTAAGAAAGTGTCGAAGCGATACATACGAGTGCAACATCAACGTTCCGACGATGAAACTCTTTCTGCCGCAGCAATCGGCGAAGACAATCAAGTTTCGTCCGCGAGCATGCCGGTCGGCAACAGCCGGCCACATTCCTTGTCAGTTGACTTGACGCCCCCGCCTTTCCCTGAACGTCAGTCTTCTTGGGAATCTTATTGTACATGTGGTGTGATGCGTCTGACCTTACCTCGCTCGTACACTTGATCGAAGCTAGCGCCATACACTAAATGTCGCCGTAGCATAGCGTTAATATGTTCAGGCCTGCTCGATGACCTTTCATCGCACGCGTTTGAAGGCGGTGTTACTTTTCGTGGTCGGCCTGAAGTGCTTTCAAAGAGGCTTGAATTGAATGCGGATTCGCAGTAGTAGGGACGGTGCCCGAGCGGTGCGCGAGAACGGGGGGAGGGGCACGCAATATCGTCTCATTCCGCTTGGAACACCCCTTCCCCTGAACAAATCCTTCTGTCAGCCTAGCCCTGCAAGCTGCAGGCTGCGTGTATTCGTACGAAGGATTGTGTATCCTGTGCGCCCGGCTGTATATGCATCTTTGTTTGGTTTAGTCAATCGTATTATAAGGTTAATTTAACTGTTGATAAGGCTGTTCTTAATGTTTTTGCCGTTCCTTGTGCATCTAAGGAATGCTTAAAGCAGCGCTCTGAATGCACAAACAGTGTACTTATTCGTGGAACTAAAATAGATGCGTCAGTTTCTTCTGAAGGTCGAATAGTTGGGTGCAAGATTAATATTTAGTGGTGCTCTGGTTCAGTTTTTCCGTTAGAGATATGGTAATGCCATCACCTTCCAGTTCAGTATTGTAGTTTCTTTATTATTTACATGTTGTTTTAAATACTCGTCTAGATATTTTGTTATGTGGTGTTAACAAGAAACATGCTCGTATAAATACGTCCTCATTTCATTGGGCTTCGATGAATAGTTTTCAAATTTTCTTGCTTTCTTTTTCTTGTTTTTTTACAATGTAATGCTGAATAACAAGTGAAAGGAACGAAAAAAACAAAAACAAAGTTGAACAGCTTCTGCAAAAGATCACAAAAAAGCGCAGCCTCGCACCATTAATGACGTGGTTTCAAAGAGTAGTTCCAGTTCCGTAGTGTGCAAGACAAAATCATGTGGACAATGATTTATACTGCGGAAAGTAGCAAACAAAAACAACGTGTTTTAGTTAGCATTTTATTACTTGTCCTTACTACAGATGCCCATGCTTCGGCACATATCTGATCGATCGATTGAAGGCCCCTGTATCCGAGTATATAGAGTGCATAAGTGCCAAGTTTTACGATTTTATCGTAAAGTGCCCGATTTTCAGCACATTTTTACGAGTATCGTAATGACAACTATATTTTTACGATTTTTCATGTTTCGGGTCGAAAAGTTCGCAAACTGAACGCGCTGCTTCAGACAGTCAACTGCACCAGCTGAATCTGGCCTCTTTTTTTGCGGGGCTATGCAGGCAACACTGTATTGGCTTATATCCAGAGTCAAAGCCAAAGCCAAAAGGCATTGACTTCGCGGATAGCGGAAATGTGCTCGACTTTCTTTGTTACCATGCGCTGCGGGAGGTGCCTTGCACATGTTTTTGCGGAGCGGTAGCGTATGGTTCAGCCCTAGCAGCTCACGAGGTGTCTGAGAAGAAATACTTTCAAGTTTTTATTCCCAGCTATTCGACTGACTTTCCATTTATTAAGAGGTCGCGTAAAGGTGAGCGGTACGCATTTTGTAGTTTGTGCTGCTGTGATGTGAACATTTCGCACGCTGGTCGCCGGGATATTCTGCTACATGTGAATACGAAGAAACACAGACTCGGCGAAACTTGTGGACTCTAACGGGAAACTTGGAGGGTACTTCAGCAAAGCGGATCTCGATACTACAACTCGAGCGGAGTGCCTTTTTACTGCGTTCCTGATTGAACACAACGTGCCGTTCACGGCTGCTGATCACGCTGGAGACCTCTTTCGAAAAATGTTTCCGGACTCGAAGGAAGCTAAGAACTACGCCTGCGCCCGTACGAAGACTACGGCGATTGTGAAGGAAATGGCCAATAAAGATATCGACGAAGTGATAAGTCACTTGCAGCACGCTCCGTTCTCAGTCGCCACAGACGGGAGCAATGACGCCGGCAACGATGCAAAACGGTATCCAATCGTGGTGACGTTCTGTGATAGTACTGTTCGCACTGCCTTGCTCGTGATGTCTGCCCTCGAAGGTAACTCCACGGGACGAAACATCGGTGCGTTTGTTGTGGACACGCTAACGAGCAAAAAGATACCGCTCCAGAACTGCATCGGCATGGCGTGTGATAACGCGCCAGTCATGATTGGATTAAAAAACGGAGTGGCTGCTGTGCTGAAAGAAAGCCATGAGAACATTGCCATCATGGGCTCCTGTTGCCATTTGATCAATCTGGCGGCACAGAAAGGCTCAGCATGCCTTCCACTGAATGTGGATCAGGTGCTAGTTGACATTTTCTACTACCTCGAGAAAAGCTCAAAAAGGAAGGACAAGCTGAAAGCTTTTCAGTCTCTCCACGATGTAGAGGCCAAGAAAATTTTAAAGCATGTCAGCACCAGGTGGCTCTCTCCTGGAAGGAGCCTGAAACGGCTTGTGGACCAGTGGCAGCCACTGCTTAGTTTCTTCCATAGTGAAGTAAGGCCCTCCGGGCAGGTTTCCAAGTTTCCCAGCAAGCCATGTACCCATGTAACCTTCGCACTGACCTTCAGAAGCATGCAAAGGAAGCGGAGAGCAGTCATCAGAGCAAAAGACCAAGACTGGACACAAATGTCCCCGTGTCGGATACAGCTCCCAAGCGAACCCAAAACCGTCCAGGAAAGGTCTTAAACAGAGAAGAAAGGCTATTCATGTTTCTTTCATCAGATGCAAATAGAGCATACTGTGACTTCTTGCTGTCTGTAATCCCAGAGTTTGAAAAGGTGAACGTGTTCCTGCAGTCTGGAGTCCCTCAAGTGCACTTGCTGCGTGAAGTGCTTAGTAACTTGCTAAGAGAGATCATGTTGCGTTTTGTAAAACCTTCAGTGATCAAAAAAGCTGATGTGTTGGCTGACGTTGACTACAAATTTTCCGTCAGCCAAAGAGATAATGAAGATATCGTAATTGGTAGTCGGACCACACAGACCTTGGAAGGCCTAAAAAAAGAAGCAAGGGAAGAGTTTTTTACACATATAAGGAGGTTCTTCGTTGCAGCAACGGAGTACATGATCCTGAAATTTCCACTGAAGTGTGAGCTGTTGAAGAGTGCAGAAGTGGCAAGGCTTGCGTCCATTGAACACGCCAGGTTTTCTGATGTCAAGTACTTAATCAACCGCTTCCCAGTGCTGCTACCACTTCAAGAGGGGCAAGATGTGAATTCTGCTCTGGACGACATTCAGGCAGAGTTCACGCGTCTTAAGTTGGAAGAATTACCCGCTGAAGTACCTAAGGAGCAGCAGATTGATGAGCAATGGCGGGCGGTGTCCGGTTTACGAGAAGTGGATGGCAGCTTTAAGTATGCCAGACTTTCAAAATTTATGTTGGGGGTCCTAACACTCCCGCATAGTAATGCGGAGTGTGAAAGAGTCTTCAGCAAAGTGAAAAAGGCGCACACCCAGTTCCGTGCCTCCATGTCGAAAAAGACTGGAGCAGTTGCTTGTCGCAAGATGTGCCCAGTCACACTTGGGTAAGTGCCACGAACAGGTCTTTGACAAGGACTTTCTGAGGAAGGCCAAGGCTGCCACGACCTCTATGCTAGCCCACCCCTCCACCTCCGAGACTTGAGAACTTTTTGTGCCTGTTTTGTGAAATGTTTCTTTTGTATTCCATTCATCTAAGCCAGTTCTTAGAAAATAAAGCGCTATTTTAGTATTTTTGTACTTGGTTTTAGTTTTTTTTGTCATCTCCTGTAGTACTTTAAGAACTGTGGGGTTGGCACGTCTGAGAGTGGCAGTATGCAGAATGTCACCTCACTGTAAGCTGAGAAGAACCGAGGCTAATGAAGTGAGAGGGCACAGTGACCTTATATGCAGTGTCTGTACTCTTGTTGCAGCGGTGGTCGCGGGGTCGGAGTGTCCGATTCTAGTGCGGGGGGTACTGGGTTCGATTCCCTGTGCAATATTCGCGCAGCCACCGCAGTTTCACCATCATCATCATCAGCCTGACTACGCCCACTGCAGGACGAAGGCCTTTCCCATGTTCCGCCAGTCAACTCGGTCCTGTGCTTGCTGCTGCCACTTCATACCCGCAAACTTCCTAATCTCATCTGGCCACTTAATTAACTTTCCGTCTCCCCTTCGCCCACTTGCCTTCTCTGGGATTCCAGTCAGTTACCCTTAATGACCTGTGGTTATCCTGCCTACGCGCGACGTGCTCGGCCCATGTCCATTTTTTTTCTTGATTTCAACTATGATATTTTTAATCCCGCTTTGTTCCCTGACCCACTCTGCTCTCTTCTTGTATCTTATATAAGGTTACATCTATCATTTTTTTCCATGGCTTGCTGCATCGTCTTCGATTTAATCCGAACCCTCTTTGTAACCCTCCAAGGTACTGTTCCGCAGGTAAGTACCGTTAAGATCAATCTGGTATACATATTCCTTCCTCTTGAGGAATAGTGACAATCTACCAGTGATGATTTGAGCATGTTTATTGAATGTGCTCCACCCCATTCTTATTCTTCCAGTTACTTCAATCTCGTGGTTCGGCTCCGCGGTTATTACCTGCCCTAAGCAGACATAGTATTTTGCAACTTCAAGTGGACTATTACCTATCTCAAAGCGCTGCTCTCTTCCGAGGTTGTTGTACATTATTTTCGTTATTGCTAATTAATTTTAAGGCCTAACTTTTTGCTCTCCTTATCTAATTCAGTAATCATGAATTGCAATTCGTCCCCTGTATTACTGAGCAATGCAATTTCATCGGCGAAGCGCATGCAAGTTACGAAAGTACTCTTCATTAACTCTTTTCCCCAACTCTTCACATTTTACGCCTCTGAAAATGTCCTGTAAGCACGCGGTAAATAGCACTGAGAATATCGCATCCCCTTGTTTTGTATATACCCCCTTCTCTATTGGTATTCTGTCGCTTTCTTTATGAAGCACTATAGTGGCAGTTCATCCTCTGTAGATTTCCAGATTTCTTCCGGGATGCCTATATATATGCTTCGTCGACGCCCTGATTCTGCAGTGTCTGCATGGCTGTTGATATCTCCACCGAATCTAATGCCTCTCGTAATCTATGAAGGCGACGTATAGTGATTGGGTGTATTTTGAGCATTTCTCTATCACCTGATTGATAGTATAAATGTGGTCGATCGTTGAGCAACCTGTTCGAAATCCTGCTTGATCCTTTGGTTGATTGAATTCTGACGTCTCAATTCTGTTAAGAATTATCTTTGTAAATAGCTTACGACGGGGAGCAAGGTGATCGGCTTGCAATTCATGTGCCTGTCGTCCCTTTTCTTATGGATTAAGATGATGTTGGAATTCGCACAAGATTCCGGTACCCTCCTTCGTAAACAGTAGTGTGGCTCTCCGCTCCTTCGCTAGGTCCGTCACTTCTGTCCACTCTTTGCTGCACCCACTCGCTCGCCGCAGTGCACGCGTCCGGCGTCGTCGTGTTGCGGACAGTTCAATTGTCGTCCCGTTATAAAGAAAATCGATAAACAACTATCGGAGAGAACGAGGCAGACGAATCTAAGCGCCACTGCGGGTGTATTTTTTGAAAAGTGCGTGGCTTCGCGTATAGTTGCGTGTTTCGTTTTGCTGGACACCGCGCGCCTGCGTTCAAGTTTACTGTTGAACTAAAGAGAAAAAAAAAACGAGGATTGCGCTGTACCAGCTGGGATGGACGTCCGCTCACTCGGTCGCGTGAAGGTTTGCCCCGAGGCGGAGCACGCTCGCCGCTTGGGACATCGACGCATCGGCGTCGCGGAGCCCTGCGACGGTCGTGTAAGTTGACCGCCCAGCGCGCGCTTTGCATCATTGCGAGATGATTGCGGGAGGCGGCTATATCCTCTTCAATCTTCCTGGGCGACCAGTTGGGCTCGCGTGCGAGAGTTGCAGGTTTGATGGTCAGTGCGTTCTATTACATTTGGTGGCGAAGAAATAGAATATATATATATATATATATATATATATATATATATATATATATATATATATATATATATATATATATATATATATATATATATATATATATATATATATATATATATATATATGAAGGTATGGGATATGGCACAACGGGAGCGTTGTCAACAAGGATAAATATATTTATTTCCCAACAGTTTCGGGAGGGGTCCTCCCTTCATCAGGGGATGAGTTATATTGACATGAATTTCCAAACTTCGTTGCTGCCGCGTCCCTCTCGCCTTGAAACATGTTTGCGAAAGTGAGAGGGAACTAAAAAAAAAGAAAGAAAGTAAAAAAGAGGAAGAAACCACTGTCAACACTGAGAACGAAACCAACTGTCCGTGTACGTCCACATACGTTTCTTATCACGTGCTGTTCAGTTCTCGACGTGTGTCGGGCCACCCAAGAGTGTCGCCGCGGTGCCGGGAGGGTCCGTGACGGCGTGCGTAAAGAAAGGGTTTCCTTGTAATGGGTCGGTCGGCATGCGGCGTGCGTAAAGGAAGGGTCTCCCGTTAATGGGTCGGTCGGCTCTTTTTACCTTTAATCTTCGTCCGTTTCCCTTCAATGGTCATCAAGTGGTAGCCGAACGAAAACATTTTGTATGTGCATGTGGAAAAGAGGAGAAAAGAAAAAATGAATGAAGAAAAAACGAAAACAAGAATGGACACTGTACACGTACGAGTGTATATATATAATGCCAGGTGCAGCTGTACCGTTTACATGATGTCCATCAATTCGAGAAGCGCGCGAGCTGGGTGGGTCACGTTGTTATTTCGGCCGAAAGCGCGTGATTTTTGCTCATTTATTTCTAATTTTCTGTATTTATTTTTCTTCTTTTGTTTTTTTTCTTCATGTGCAGATGAATACGACTCAGATCAGTGGATTTGCCGAGTTGTTCCACGTGTACACTTACGCACGGATGACCTCTGTTTGACAGCTAGTTTATCCTCTGTGCTGCTGCTGGAAAAGCGGAAAAAGTACGTGTTCCCGTTTTGAAGCAATGAGATGGTTCCGGAACTGTCGTGTGCTGGTCAATTGCAGTTTCCTTCAACATCTCTTGTCTTTTTGTTTTGTTGTTCTTTAACGCAACTAAACCGTTATGTCATCCTCATAATAAATTTCTGAGTTCGTTTTATCTTTTAGTGAGATGGAGGGTACACGAAGCCCTCGATTTCCTTAGAACATCTCATTAGCCACGCGCATCGACGACAGACTTCACAACGATCGATGTTGGTTCTCGTAACGTTTCCTGGGATAACGTCGCAGGGAAGTGGATGCTGTACCGTCTGGTGTCAGCCCTTACGAAAATGAATTTAGACAGTCTACAGACTGTCTATCTAAATCTATCTTTAGACAATCTATAGAGTGTTCCCTAAATTTATTTTTTAAGGCAGATGAAGCGCGAGCTTCATCGGGCGATACGTGACAGCGTTTGTGCTTCAGCGTGCGTCGAGGCATCGTATACATGTCGGCGCTTACGCGCGCTGTCTTGCACCCACGGGGCATCGCAGCAGCATCCGCTGTCAGCCAGGCCCGCCGATCGGATCGAGGTTTCCTTCTTTGTATTCTCGAGTCTCGTTTCATCATTTACTATAGCGATGCACCGGCTTGTCCTTGACTTCATTACTACCCGTTCGCTATGACGTTTGCTGAGGAAGCAGCATTACTGAAAGTTACTGAAAAGGGGGAATGGGAGTTGGGTAATCTTCATTA